GCGATTCCTCCCGGACTGCTGGCTGAGCCCTCTCCTACCGCCTTCGCTGCTCAGCCCTGCTGCCAATCTCAGGGTCAGGGCACCAAGCTGAGCTCAGCAACTCCAGACACGGTAGCAGGACGTGGGTGCTGTCACCCATGTGCCGATGCTCTTCTTGATGCAGGACCCCCATTTCGTCTGGGTGACACTGCAAGAGCCCCATCTCTGTAACTGGTCACCAGAACAAGGGGACTTCATCTCTGCTGCTGCCAGCATGGGGCTTTGTGGAAGATAATGTGGGATGGGGGGACATGGGAGCATGGACAGCAATGGCATGATGCTTGGGCGCTTAACAGGGTCCCCAACCTCTATCCCACGGGCGGCTGCAGCATTTCTACCACCAAGTGTCTTGCAGGGTAAAACTTATCCCCAAGACGTAACACAGACACCAAGGGAGATCCCCCAAGACATGTGAATAAACAAGTAAAAGAAAAAAGAAACCAGAAATGCTAGGGAGGAGGAGAAAAAAGCCAAAAGCAACGCGGCTGGGCTGCTCAGCCAGATGGATGAAAGCCGGAGCCGGAGCTGGCTCGTCACACTGGGCGTAGCACAAACCAAGGGCTGACCATGGGACGGGGTTTTCAAGGCCGTGCTATCGATGCTAACGCAGCGTCGGGGGCAATGCAGATGACAACTCGCTGTTTTTCACGGGCCAGGCTGTGTCCCCATGACGAGGGACGGATGCTGCGTTCTCATAGCACCCAGCATGACAGGGCCGCGATGCCTGAGCGGGATCAAGGGGTGCCACAGCCATCCCTTCTCCTTCACCAGTAAACCACAGTGCCCCAGGAGCAGGCTAGCGATGGGCTTTCAATAAAGAGACCTGAAATCCCGCCCAGAAGCAAATAAAAATCAGACTCTTCCTTTTAGTTACGTTGTAAAGGCTAAAATGAGTTCAGACCTGGAGCTTGCTGCCCTTGCAGTGCCGGGCTGTGCTCTCCGAGAGCTCCTGCCATCAGGGCTGAACAAAAGGTTGCACCAGGTTTTCACGGTCTCAGGAACAGGTCGGCTCTGGGTCACAATCGCGGATGACACAACTTTGGTTCACCTTAAATCCCCAGGCCAGAAGCTGCAGCACCCCAGGCAGCTTGGCTACCACGCACCGGGATCGGGGCAGGGCTCCCTGGGCCCTCCTTATAGCTCCCTAAGCACCCATCTCTTAAAAAGAGCTTTGGGAGAGCCCTAAAATCTTGCTGTATTTATGCCTCCAGCTCCGCATCACCCATGGTGATGACACAGAAACCACCATGCCCAGCAGGATGCAAGAGCTGGGTGGGGATTCTTCCAGCCCCATTAGCCAGGCACAGTCCCGTCATTAAAGACCAAGTAATTAGCCTTTGCGTCATTTGCGGGCAAGCCTTGCTGTTTGGAGTGTCACATTTTAAGGCTAATTAGCAATGAGGGTTCTCCTCTGCAAAAGGCTTGGAGCCGGTTTGCTTGTTTTGTTCTTTTTCGGTTTGTCTTGGCAATTAGTTATTTCAGCTGCAAACAGGAGTGTCAGGAGCTGGGATAGGTGGAGGGATCCTGGACACGGAGAGGCTTCCAGCGTGGCTGGCGTGGGGCTGCTGGTGATCCATGGAGCCGTGTCACGACCGTCCAGAGGCCAGGCTAAGGCGGTGCTGCCGCAAGGGATGAGGTGGCCCTGGTGCACCCACATACCCCCGTGTTTCTCAAGGCCAAAGCAGCGAGCGCTGGCAGAGCTCATCCTGCTGGAAGCTGAACTCCAGAGCACGTTGGGGCACCAAGGACACTCTGGTCCTCCATGCAAACACACTCGGGCCCTCGTTGGGCTATGAGATATGGAGGAGTCTGGATATGAGACTGAGCTGGGACCCACAGCGTGGCCAAAACACGGTGGTACCCAGGGAAGAGACCAGCAACCCCTCAACTGATCCCAAGCGTTACAGCAAAGCTGTTTTCAAGCACTACTTGAAAACAGGAGAAAGCACAGCAGCCAGCGTTTGCACGTGTCTGATGCGGGAATGCATCCACGGAAAGAGCAGCCAGCGGGAAATCCTGTAAGCCAGCAGGACGGAGCAGAGGGACAGGGACGGGCACCGGCTGGAAGCTGAGCCTGAGGGGGTCTGCATTGGGGGCTGGACATTGACAGCCCCGAGAATCCCTCTGGACACACAGCGCCCAAAGGACAGGCTTGTAAATCCAAAACCATAACAGTGTGTGCAGCATTGAGCTTCACTGGCTTTATCCTTAAACTCGCTGGTACAGAGAAACTTCTGGTTCTCACCCTGCTGTGAGCAGCAGCTTCCCGCGCCTCTGCACGTGGGCACGAACACACCAACCACACGGAAAGGCCTGAGGTTTCTGTGCAGGTGCCTCTCCCCATGCCCAGGTTCAGGGCGACACAGCGACCACGCCTGTGTCCCTGGGGTGTGGGACAAGCCCTTGGGAAACTCATGCCTTCGCGTGCTGGGTCCTGGCCAAAGCACCGCACGGGTCCTGCCTGGCACTTCCCAAGAGCTACACAGAGAGAGGTGTGTGGGCTGCACTCACTTTTCCCGGAAAGTCTCCTTCTCCTGTTCGCTCCACATGTTCATCACCTGCCGGTCCTTGTAGACCTTCATGGGGTCATCCATGAGGCCGTTCATGTTGATGAATTTAATGCGCTGCTGGTCAGCATCGTAGAGCATGGGTGGGATGACGGCGAGCTGGCGCATCTGCTTCTCCAGATTCTTTGGGGAAAAGCAGAGAGAACAGTTGGTCAGCACCACGGGCCCGCGGGGACCGCAGGGGACAGATGTTCGAGAGGAAAAGACAGGCGGAGGAACAGGAGAATTCAAAAGCAAGCACTAGACAGCTTTATTGCTAGAGTAATTGTAAATTAAACGCTGAAAGAGCCTATTGCTGTCAGCCAGGAAACAATTAATCTTTCATTTTGAAATAAAAGGCTTTAAGATACCGTGTGGAAATGTCTGACTTAAGCAAAACAGCTCCTGATTGTGACGAGAGACAAGTCAAAGCAGGGGTGGCACAGGGAGCACAAACCCCTTCCCACATCAAACCCACGGCCGCCTGGAGGTTCAGCCCCACACCCCAAACCGCAGGGAAGCGGGTCTGCTCTGCAAGGCTTTCTGAAAGGATGGGCAGAGGGAGACGTCATGTTCCCCTTCCACGGCAAAGCTCATATTGTTCCAGGATGTTTTAAATGTCACCGTAACGGGGCTGTCATTTCTTTCTTTCCTCTTACTGCAACACCCTGGGACACAATCTGATGCTTTTACTCCATCCTAATCAAGTGCAAAGTTCATCCAGAGTCCCGGCCGCATGCCAGGACAGGACAGGACAGACTGGGCACACTGCCTTCCTTAACCATTTGCAACAAGGTGGCCAATGTGATGTCTCATCTGTGCCATCCCCTGTCTGAAAGCCGGGACTGTCCCTTTGGCAGAGCTGCTGGTGGTCTCCCAGCACAGGTCCACCCTGTGGGGATGAAGGGATGCCCTGGCCACCCTCCTTCATTTGGTAGCAGCACTGTCACTCCGAGTCCTCCCTGTCACCTGGGATGGCACTAGTCAGACATAAATTCCAACCCTTGATCAAGGAAAGGCAGGTCTCAAGTGCTGTTATTTTAATTTACAGCTAGACATGGGTTCCCTGGAGAACAGTCATGTCCAGTCCTCCCAGCTGCTGACCCAGACCTGCCCAGCATCGTGCTGCTTCCCTGCTGCGACCGAGCAGACCCAACCTCCACTTCCTAAAACACAGCCTTCTGCACGGACATGGATGTTTCAACTCATTTAATCGCATTCCTCATCCTCACTAGGATGCTTCTTGTTCAGCAACCGGCTGCTTCAGGATGCCCTGGGAGGTGTCACCTCATCACGGCAGGTCAGGGACAGCTCGTGGCCAGAATGTGGACCCTGACAGCCGCAGCTCGCCCCAGCGGGGGCAGAAGCACGGCAGACGGAGGCAGCAGGCAGGGGCAGTGCTGCAGCTGAGAGCCCACGGACTCTCCCATCACCTGGCAGGGTCTTGGTGTGCCAAGCAGTGCACACACACCACACCGGCGGGCAGCCAGACCTCTCTCCTCTCCAGCAACATGCCGGGGTGGAGAGCTGGCCTCTGCCTTCCCAGCTTCTCACCTCCCTGCTCCTTCCAACCCCGTGGAAGGGCTGGAAGCTCTTAAGGTCTTCTCAGAGACAAGTGTACGGATGCTGTGGGGCTTAGCAGGAGGCTGTCGGGGCGGAGTTCAGCAGCGCGCTGTGCAGGAGGTCAGCGGCAATCATCTAACGCTCCCCTTGGCCACAACCTCTGCAGAGCTGTGAAATTTCCCTCTGTTTCCCAGATTTGTGTCCTCCGGGTCGTTGCCTTAACTGGCTAACAGCAAAGTGCCTGGGAGCCGGGGCAGGGAGCGACCTGCAGCGCAGGGGCAGCAAACATCTCAGCTATTGCCGGGCGACGGCTGCTCTCCCCTCCCAAACGCGATCCATTCACTGCAGCTCGTCTCCGTGCCAAGAGAGCGGAACCCTTGTGAAACCAGATCCAAACGAAGCCAAGGTCACGGGGATGTTTCAAGATGAATGGAGCACTCCCAGAAGATGTGGGCCAACTGGCTCATGTACAAACCATTCATTCCATAGGATTCCCCTGTGTCAAGCCGCACAGCCCATTCAAAACAAAACGAAACAGAAAAACCCCTCCGCCCGGCAGCCAGGGCGCTGGCTCCATTCCTTTCCCTTTCCACCTCTGCTTCCTGTTTAAACCCACAGCCAGGAGGTGTTTGTGGGGTGCTGCCCAGCACGAGCAGCATGCTGGGGTTCCAGGTCCCTAAGAGGCAGCTGATAGCCATTAAACCCTATCCACTGGCCACCAGCTCCTGCGGTGCTTTGCTCCACATTTTGTGCCTGCAGAACCATTGCACAGCTCTCCCGCATCTCTCGGGTTGCTGAAAAGATGCTGCTGGGTGTTAAATGAACACCTCACTTTGGATCATGGCAAACTCCCCAACCTCAGCGTGGCCTGGAGTCACTGGGACATGGTACCAGACCTCACCGTGGGACCTGGTGGTACTCCTCAGCTTCCTCAGAGGAGAGCGGAGTGAGGGGTGAAGAGGAGGAGAAAGGACAATCTGGTCTCACCTCTTGTTCCGAGAGCCCGTCGATGATCTCTGACACCTCGTGCTCGCTGCGTGCAGCCGACATGGAGAGCCCTCCGCTGCCCCTCTGTCCTACCCTGCTGGGAAAGGGCAGGGGAACACTCAGACACTGATGCTCCGTTTCATAAGCAGAAAACCACATCCATGACAACTCGCTGGCCCTGTTGGCCTCCTTGTTGACCTCCATAGTGACCATATCCCAACAACCCACCCAGGCCATCCCATGCCACGCTGCGGGAATGGTGCCCATTGCATCCCCATGGCTCTGATAGCACTTACTGCTGCCCAGAGAGCGCCGTTCCCCGCGTCCCCCAGGTTTAGGGCTCAGAGGTCGAGAGCCTCAAACCACCTTCCTTACCTGTGCCAACCTCCTGGACTGCTACAACAGAAGGACATTTCATACTCAACCACACTCTCTCCCCCATATTTTCTCCTGTTCATCTCACAACAGCAATAGCATAAAGGCGTCAGCGTTAGCACCGAGCTGTCACCACTGCGTCACCGCATCTGGTTTGCAAATGCTGCAGGAACTTTTAAATCAAAACCAGCCATTGACACCTATCCCCCCCAGTATCACCCAGTGTAACAGCCATGCATCCCAGGGAATGAAAACTTTTCTTATTAAGCAGGTAAAAAGTTAAAACATTTCTCAGTATCATTTCTCCCCTTCTTTTTAAGATAAAATAATGCCATCAATTAGGAAGTTTGGACCCATCCAGCTGTTTGTGGGGCACAAGGACAGGATGCTGGCACAAGGATTTGGGTTCTGTGCACAGCAGGTCTCCTTGGGCAAGATCTCAGGGCCAAAATGGGAAGGACGAAGAGTTTTCAGCAAGAAGGGTGAAGATCATGAAATTGTGTCTCCTCCTGGCAGGAAACAATTTGACCTCAATTGCACTTCCAATGAGGAGGAGAAAACGGACCAAGGATGGGAGAGACAGAAGACGTCCCTTTCCCGGAGACACTTTGCTCCCTTCATATCGTTCGTGGTCATTCCTATAACTTCTGTGGATGTTTCTTCTACCTGCCCATGCTCCAAACAAAGCATGTGTGTGTATTAAATCACTGACATGATCAAATCCATCCGCAGATCTTGCACATCCTCATTTGGGCCCACCAGTAAGGCAGCAGTAATTAGCACTGGTCCAGCCAGGCAGCCAGCACAAGGGAGCTGCCCCTTGCTCCAATCTGGCCAGTTGGGAGATGGGCAACCACATTCCTGATGTTTTTCCTTCTCTCTTGGCTCTGTGCCGAGCCACCCTGGGCAAAAAGCAGCAAAGCTGCTTGTCTGCTGGCTCCTGCAGTTGCTGCGTCGTATCGTTATTCCACCAGAAGGGGAGAAAAGGGACCGAGAGCCATCCCAGCCTGCTCCTCCCGCGAACAAATCCCACACCCGTCCCCAAAGAAAAGAGAAAGGCTGTCTGATACCAGCTCAGCCCTTTCCTACCGCTTCTCCTCTAACCTCTGCATGCGCTCTTGCAGTTCCCGCTGCTTCCGGATCTCTGGGAATTGCTTCTCATAGTATTCCCGCACTTTGCTCTCTTTGGCACGGCGTCGGGGGTTATTTTCGATACGCTCCACTTTCTTTTCCCAAGCTTCCATCAGCTGGTCATAACGCTGGCAAAACTTCTGTTCCTGAAAGGGCAGAGGGAGAGAGGGAGCTCCAGAGATGTGCCCGGGAAGGGCAGCTCCTCCAGGCTGTCCCTTGATGGCTGCTCAGGCTGAGCAAGAGTCACGTTGCTTAAAGAAATATGGTTTATTAGGACACGGACACGCTCCAGGGCCTGGGACCCGCCTGAGGGTAAATTCTCAAGACAGGCCATCAGGTACCCTCAGGCTTGTCCCTTCCAGACCCAACCAGGACTCTCAACCAGCTGGCCCCTGCCCGAGGCCATATGCCGTGGTGGCCTGGCCGTGCCATGATGTGCCCAGCTCCTCTGCTATCCTGGAAAGCAAAAGGATTTTTCCAGTTGCTGCTCCTCCTTCCTGGCCCAAGAGCAGGACAAGCACATCCCTGCCAACAGCAAACTCAGGCTCTGCCGAAACACGGTGCTGCAAGGGGCTTCCATGCCATGTTGCCCCAGGTGATGTCGTCATGGCACACCCACCAGCCACCCACACCGGTCCAGCACCCCACTTCTCCCTGGTATTTATGGGACCAGCCTGGTAACCATAACATTAAAATATCATTTGCAACACAAATGAACCTCCCACCACTCCCCGAATCGCTCCTCCCTCCTCCGGCCACCGTCTTGCTGGAGAAGGACACCCATGGACAGGTAAGGTCTGCATCGAGAAGATGCCTGGCCACAGTCCTGGACAGCCGCAGTGGTGACGGGAGCGATGGCGCTCAGCCTCACGTGAGAGCAGCTGGACAACCCAGAGGGGCTTTTAGGGTTTCATTTTGAGAGAAATAAACGCCTTCTAGGCCCCAAATCAGGAAGCGAAAGCAGATGTCGCTCTGCAAAATACTCAATGGCAAACCCCAGGTCACCTCTCCGTCCCTGTGCTGGTTTCCAGAACGGGCGGCTCAGCACCGGCACGCTCAGCACCGCGCTCAGCACTGCGGCAGAGACGGTGGGGAATCCAGATTTCAAAGAAATAAACTCATCTCTTGTCATTGCTGCCCCACGGCTGGAGGGAAGTCCAAGGCTGTAGGACTTCCCAGATGTTCTCTGCTCTCATCTCACTCTCAGCCACCAAAAAAATGGGGAGAGATAAAGAAAAAAACAACCCCCAAACCGATGGAAACGCTCAGTTCCAGGTCAGGAGGCAGCTGGGTTATCCCAAGCCAAGCAGATCAGTCGTGCCGTGGACCCTGAGGACCAGGAGCTCCATGGCCCAGCGCTTGCACCCACAGCAACCCATGGCCGGTGTCACGCTGATCCTGGCACGTGGGTTTGGTCCAGCCACCACGGACCTCGCAATGACCTGGGGCAGCAACACATCCTGTGGTCCCACAGCCTCCTGGAGGCCCCTCGCCAATAACGTGAGGTGGACAAAGCACACGAAATCCCACAGCTGATGCGGGCTAACACTCCCTCCCCCAAATAAATGAATTCCCTCTTGCACACGTGGAGCTAGAGGCTTCCCTGCCCACAGGAGATGCCTGGGTTTTGGCAGGAGGTAAAGGAAACGGCTGTAACATGAAAGGCTGTTACCAACCACCTGAGCACTTCTGACTCACATCTGCTTTCTTAAAGCCCTTCCCACCACAAAGCAGAGATCCTTCCTGCCACACAAGCTTCAAACCTGGTCTACAGCATCCCTGCCCAGCACTTTTTGGCCCAGCTGGGTTATACGTTCCCTGCAATCTTTTGCCATCCTTCAAAGCCAGGATTATAGGGACCTTCTAGCACTGTGTGCTCCCCGGATCTTCCCAGCTCAATCACCAGAAGAAGCTCCCAGTCAGGCACTTCAGGAGCAAAAGCGCCTATTCCATCTTCGAGCATCCTCTGAGCAGCCTTAAGCGAGCGTGTCCGTTCCTGAGTAACCATCTGTGTTGGCTTTTAGCACCGGTGCTTCCTCTGCTCCCGCTCCCGGCCAGGCTCACCAGCCCATCAGCCCCTCGATCCCACCAGTAAGCAATGGCGAGCCAAATCTGACTTGACATGTGTATCTAAAAATGGATGGATAGTAACGCCGGCGTAGCAGCTGGAGGCAGATCGTGGGCTGTGCCAAGCTCGAGCCCTCCCACAGCCCACGCTCTCGTGGCTCCATGGAACAGAGCAGCTCTTTGGAGGAGAGGGGAAGAGTGAAGGTGACAGGAGGAAGCAGACCAATTCCTACGTGAGCCCCATGGTTCTCTTCCTCTGGCTGATGGAGATAAACCTCTTACAGCCAGAACAGCTCCCTTTACCCTTCTCTCTCTGCAGCATCACCCTTCTGATGGCAATTAAATGTCTTCTGCTGGGCTGAGGCAGGAGGAAGCCCTGCAGATCTTCTGGTGGCAGTCTCAAGGCTGGACCCCGCTGGGACCGAGCTCTGACTCTGACCCTGCCCCAGCCCTGCGTAGTGTCAGTACCCCAGAAAGCAAAAGAGCCCGAAAGAAACACTGGCACGTAGATGGGCTTTGCTAAAAATAGGGTCTGCTACAAAACAGGCAGAAAAATAGCTAAGCGTACCCATTTTGCAAACAGAATCAGCAAATGTATTCACTTTGCAAATTCAGCAACCGTATGTTGCCTGTTTTGTAGAACAGGCAAAATGCTTCCCTAAACTGAAAAATCCCCTTTCAAGGACACTGAGTAAACCGGCTGGCAGAAATGCACCTATTTTGCATGACGGGCGCCTCCACAGAAAGCCGTATTTTAGGAACCGTGCTTTCGCAGCCTAATTAAACCTTTTCCCCCAGCTCTTCGACATCCACAACAAAGCGACTCATTCCAGATTCAGTGCAGTCACCGGCCGTTTCCATCAGAAAGCAGCTCCTGGGCAGTTCCCTTCCAGTTCCAACAAAACCACACGAAGCTTTGCAAATCCCTGTTTTGAGGAAGGGGATATTGATCCCCTTCCCACAGCTGCAGAAGTCCTCGGCCGCGGCAGGCGGGGTGCCCTGAGCAGCACCGAGTGCCACGCCGGGTCGTGCTGTAGGTCTAAGCCCTGTAGCTCCTTACTACAAACCTGGAAGAAGTTTTATCACAGATAAGACTAAACAAACACGTACTCGGACACAAACGGGAGACACAGCCATCCCTTTGGAGTGCAAGATCTGTGGCTTTGGGAAGATTGCTACAAAATGGGGGGGAAAAAAAGGAAATTTGCTCACTGGCTCAGAAATGTCTCTGTAAACAGCCTTACTGGAAGCTGCTTTTAAAGGCAGAGCCTTCCAACCACTTCCCAGGGCTGATTAGTTTGAATTTTTCCAACAATTATAGAATCATAGAATGGTTTGGGTTGGAAGGGACCTTCAAGATCATCTAGTTCCAACCCCCCTGCCATGGGCAGGGACACCCTCCACTACAACAGGTTGCTCAAAGCCGCATCCAACCTGGCCTTGAACACTTCCAGGGATGGGGCAGCCACAACGTCTCTGGGCAACCTGTTCCAGTGCTTCACCACTCAGAGAGAAAAATTTCTTCCTTCCATCTAATCTAAATCTCCCCTCTTTCAGTTTAAAGCCATTGCCCCTTGTCCTATCACTACATGCCCTTGTAAAAAGCCCCTCTCCAGCTTTCCTGTGGCTCCTTTAGGTACTGGAAGGCTGCTAAAAGGTCTCCCCGGAGCCTTCTCTTCTCCAGGCTGAACAGCCCCAACTCTCTCAGCCTGTCTCCATAGGAGAGGTGCTCCAGCCCTTCATGGCCTCCTCTGGACCTGCTCCAACAGCTCCATGTCCTTCTAGTGTTGGAGACCCCCAAGCTGAACACAGCACTGCAGGGGGGTCTCATGAGAGCAGAGCAGAGGGGCAGAATCCCCTCCCCTCCCTGGAGCTGCTGGCCACAGCCCAGGATACAGCTGGCTTTCTGGGCTGCGAGTGCACAACTCCTCCCAGCCAGAGCACTTCTGTCCAAAACCAGCACCAAAGACATTCAGAAAACCTGCACCACTGGCAACTTAAGACACTAACACTGGCACCTGAGCCTGCCCCAGAACACAGACACCGAGTCAGGAACCAGAATTTACATCTTCCACGCAAAACGCAAAGCCCAGCGTTGTGAGCTGAAACACCCTTCATGGAAAGATGCTGCAAAACCCACCTTCCCGGTGGGGGCTGTTGGTTGCTTCTGACATTTCCGGTTTTGTGCTGGTTTCACCTCTAAGCTCCCACTAGTAACTACCACAGGCAACCGTCAGCGCTGAAAATGTATGAATTCTGTCAATCCCACTTGAACTTTCCCCTCTATTTAATAGAGACTTGCAACAAACGCCTTCGAAGTCTCATAATAAACCTCACCTTCCCCCTTACCTAACCAAGAACCATCTCCTTGAAGGATGCTGGAACTATCTCGCAGGCAAAGCTGCCTAGAAATGAACTGGCCAGGGCTTGATTTTTGTTTTAAACCACAAAATCCTAGAACATCACTCTGCGGTCAGCTGGAAAGAGTCAGATCAGTCTTCAGACCATTTCTCGGAAGCAGAGTCAGCTCGTTTCACACTTCTCTTAGGGTTCAATTACTCACAAAAATAGACATTTACGCTGTGAACAGGCTCTCTGAGATCAATGAAGGGCTCTGCTGTGATTAAGCCAACCCCATATGTTTGCTCTGCAGGGGGTACTTGCAGAGGGAGGTGTTGCCCGCAGTGGGATCGGGGACCTCTCCTTCACATCCAAGTTATTTTAAGCACAAGAGATGCCACAGCAATGCCACAGGCAAAGTACTGAGCACCAGTACTCCTCTGCTGGAAAATGTCCTTTTCTTTCTCACATAATAAATTACGCTGCTTTATACGTATATATAAATCTATATATATACACTTTATCTATATATTAAGTATAAAGGATTCACTTACCCACTGTTTGCGAGCATGATTTCGCCTCTTAAAGTATAAAATTAACTTTTTCCGCATTGCCTGGTTTCTGTAAAGGAAAAAAGAAAGTTGAGATTTGATAAAGGTGGCTAAAATCCAAATCCTGGCTCCCCCCTCTCCCAAAGGAGTTCACAGCGCAGCTTCCACCTTAACTCAGAATTGCATCTACTTCAGAGCCGCAAACGCGGCTATCTGGGACCTCGTGCCAGCTTTAGAGAAAGACCAACAAACCCACCGACACGAGGAACTTGACCCACATCTGCTGGTAAAACCAGGACTAAGGTTGAGAAGAAAATTCATAAACTCCCAATTCTGCAAACCTTCACCGTGCGCTCAGCACTGACCGCGGGCAGCCAGGCAGCTCGGCGTTTACCAACGGCCAACGCTGTTTCTGGATTATTTTTACATTTTGATCTGCAAAAACCCAATGGAGTCTCAAGAGTTGGGGGGCTCAGGCCAAGCTCCGCGCAGCAGGAGGTGGCTGCTCCCCAGCACCCCTTGGCAAAGGCCACCCTGCGCCATGCTGGTGCCCATGTCGGTGCACACACGCTCCCAAGGGGTTATTCTCCCCCGGGCTTCGCAGTGCTGATAAGGAGGCAAGATTGCAGCAGGGCTTGCAGCACGTATCTCCTGACCTCTTGCTTCCTTGGAGCCGTGCCTAACAAAGCTGCAAACAAACCAGCCGGGAAAACTGAGCCGCTTGCAGAATTGAGACCTCAAGAGAGAAACGAGCCGCTGCAACCACAACCCGGCGTCTGCCTGGACACCCCTCCTGGTTTCTTCTTCTTCCTACTTTCTAAAGACAGCACGAAATAACTGCTCCAAGAGAAGCAGCACCAAAGCAGTGAGCAGCTGGAAAGGCTGCACGAGCAACCGGAGTGAGCGCGAAGCCGAGCGCTGAGCTCCTGCAGTCATTCCTATTCCTAATATTTACAGCAATAAAATCTCGAGGTAAAAGGTAGAGACCAGGGGCAAAGGAGTTTCCTTAAGTCTTTTATCCCGATTAAAGGCAGAGCTGCAGCGTGTAATTACTGATCAGGAGCTTAACAGCCTCATGTAGGCACGGTCGGCAGGGTTTCGCAGAATGAAGAGACGCCCTTGCTGCCTCCTCGTCCCTCCCCTGCCTGGCTAGTGGGGAGGGGAGAAAACACCCTCCTGCCCCCAGACATCCCTAAACCTGATCAGCAGCAAGAGACCATTTGGGAAGGGGCAGAGGGCCCAGGTCACTTATAGAGAGGACTGGGGCAGTGCTGGCTAAATTTAGGGATGGAGAATATTGCAGAAAGTATCAAAATTTTTCACTTTTAAAACTCTCTTCTTGCTACACCACTAAACCAGGTGCTGGCACATATGGGGAACGACAGTGATCCCACAGCAAGTGCTGCCCTGGGGAGTCCAGGTCCTCCCAAGCCCAGAATCAAGGCTGCACCTCTATCCTGGCAGCATGCGGGGGCATCCCAGCCCACCTGCACGTGGGGACCTGGAGCAGGGCCTGGGGGCACCGCCGTAAAACTGGCACCTAGTAACTGCAGGTTTATTTAGGACAGCAATTCCTTGGGTGTGGGGTCTTTGACCAGCACCACCTTCAAGATCAAGCACGGCTGCTAGAGGAAAGGCAGCAGGGTTTGGGACAGGGCTGACTTCCCCTCCGGCACAGCCCAGACACACTCAGCTTTGTGCCCTCTGTTCAGCTCACCAAGGAGGAAACACATCAGGTTTGACTCTCAGTTCTAACAGCACCATTTGGATTTTATAACTCCTGGTTTCCCCTCTCAATCACTCAGTTCCCAGAGGTACGGGATACACGCGGAGTCCCTGACCACTGCCCGAGCTGCACTGCATCTTCACTCCCCCTCTGACTTTGCCTTGAACGCTTCGGTGCAAAACCAGACCTTGATTTCCAGGGCAGCGCGAGCAAGCGGCGCTCCTAAGTACTCCTGC